TACTTTGTTGTTGTAGTTCTTTGTGTTTCCCTTCCCCTCCCTTGGGTTTGTGCGCCGCCCTGAGTCCCACTGGGAATAGGGCGGCATATAAATAAAATGAACCTTGAACCTTCCCTGAAGCCTCCGGGGGGCGCAGGGGGGCTGTTTTTGCCCTCCCCAGGCTCCTATAAAGTCTCTGGAGCCTGGGGAGGGCGAAAAAATCATGCAAAAAATGGGAGGGAGCACTGGTCATGCACACATGCATGTATGTGTGCTGGGGGTCGCGCATTGCATTATGGGTGTGGCACACCCACGCGTGACCCCCGCTGCGCTCCCCACCCTTTTGGCACGCGAGCCAAAAAAGGTTCGCCATCAATGGATTAGGGGGTTGTTAAAAGATTATGATGAATTCAATTAAACTTAAAAAATCACCCTGCTTCATTCCTATCAGTTATTCTGAGCGCTCGAAATAAATCTGGACACCTCATTTGCATCTCATGGATGAAATCGGCCCGGGATATATTTTGGCTGGACAAAAAAGGAAGAATGCATCGTTTGAATGCATATGTTAAGCAATTCTGATCCTACTTAAGCAGGACTTCCAAATTTGGATGAGAAAGAAGGATCCCTTCTTCCCAATAAGGAAAATGATTAAGATAAACCTCAATCCGTCCATTGTATGAATAATCATTACTAACAAGAGATCGGTGAATCATTTTAGGAAGACGCATTAACAGACGCTAGACATTTTTCGTCAGGGTGGAAATGATTGTTAGCTACTCATCTGCGTCTCCTGATCGGTAAATATGAACCGTAGAGGAATAAAATATGAGTTTGAGGCTCTTAAAAGCATCTTTGGCGAACGCCCGTTTGATCTCCGCAGAAAAAAGCAAATTTACAGGAAGCCATTCGATGCCGTTGCTTTGATTTACCACCATTCAAAGGCAAAACGGAATCCAATTGAATTGTATTTTAAATCCATTTCGATTTTCCTCTGGGTTCTGCTCATTTCTGAAGGGGGCCTTCTTCCCCTGACCCATTACACCAGTTAGAAACCATGGCTTGAAAGCCGAAATGAACTGGAAGCGGTGAATTCAAACTATGAAGCGGGAAGCCGAGGCTAAAGGTTAGAGTTTCCCAATAATACGAGCTGTTAAGACAGTGGAACAACTTGCCACATTTATTGTCAACTTGCAAAGCATCCCTGACCTGCTCCTGAGTTGCCATAGGCAACTAAGAAGCTTCTTCGTTTCTGACTGAATGGCCGCTAGCACTTTTTTCTGAGAGTCGTTGAGGCTGCTTGGAGGTGTATTGCTGCTGTTCTGACTGAGGCTTCCCAAGAGCATGAAACAAACTCTTCATCCCGGTAAAAAACCCTTTTATTAATTTACAGTGAATTCTGCTCATTCACAGCCGGCAAAGTCTTTCAAAGGAGGATTTACGGTCACAGACCTTATCTGGCTTGGAGAGCTGACAGGCCGATATCGGCAGAACTTGGCAAGCAGTCTCCGAGAGTCACTAACCAATTAAGCAAACTAATTGTCTCCTGCAAACTCCCCTCCCCTTTCGCTCCTCTTTTAGTTCCTCTGGGAGGACCCGTTCATCATCTGGCCTTACTCCCAAGTCGACCCCTGTTCTTTAGCTGTTCCCTCCATCTGGCAACTCTGCGCATGCGCATACTGGGACCAG